CGACGACGACCGTGTTGATCAAACCGTCTAACATGGCCTCGATGGGGGTAATTTTACAGCGGTCGAAAATTTCGAGTGTAACACACGCCGTTGGATACACCACCTGTAACGGTAATTTAATTCTGGGCAGGATCGTGAAACAACACACCACGCAAACACGTGTGGATATAGAAGAAAGACGGGTGTTTCGCGTATGCAGTTGATGTTACAATAACTAAATGGAACTAGTAGCGAAAGTGGGACATAGCGATACAAGAGAATAATGAGGTACTGTAGAAGTGACCAATTTGCAGTTTAACTTGGTTATGTCATATCACGTAGACTCCGGCGGTGATTGGAGCACTGTTGGGAACTGCGGATAGAGTCGTGGAGTGTGCTGAAGGCGGAGGATACGAGCGACGAACGGAAAACTAGAGCGAGGGTAGCTGTCAGTGGTTAAAGGAATAAAACACTGGTCACCTTTGCTGACATACACAATCACACCACTCCCATCCAGGTTCCGCGTCATAGTGACTTTTGTCCATTCAAGCAAATTTGAGAAGTCAAGTTGGCCAACTTGACTTCTCAACTTAAGAATGGAAATATTTGCAGAAATCAAGCAAATTTGTCGAATTCTTAGCGCTTTACACTGTTCCGGAAATATTCATCATGAGGACAAGTAAGACCAATTGCGTTGTCTTCGAAACAGTTTGGCAACGTTAGTGTAGGCTGGCTATTTTCGTGTTTACCCTGTGGCAGTGCCTTCGCATTGCAATTCAATGACAGCACAGGTTACTTATCTTGCAAATGGATAACCACAACAATGAAGACGCGGGTCGCTGCGGTTTCTGCATGGATTCTGGTTAGGATGGAGCCATTCGGCGACGGTAAACAGGAATCCTAACTTTCGTCAACATGAAGGGCAGGATTGACGGTTTCCCCGACTACGATGCTATTCTGGGACAGGGAGACCACGCTATTGTTTCTGACATTGCAACGAAAGCAGTGCCTAAGCAGAGCAAATCTGAACCTTAGGCCTGCCCTAAGAGGACAGGGGCCTTGCATTTGTTAATTGTGACGTAGTTATACAAAAGTACCTGATAAATAAAATAAAAAATATAAATACATCTGCCCTCTTTTTATCCGATATGCAGGTCGCTATATGCCGGATGGACTTCAGACATCTTGCAGTTTTGACTACCTTGCAGCCAACGTCAAAAACTATTTATATGTGGCAGGAATGTATACTTTTGAATTTCTGATTCCTGTCGGCATAGTCGTGGTCTGCTACTGGCAAATCGTGCTGATTGTCAGAAGAAACGAGCGTGAAATGGCCAGCTTTACGCGAGAGGCCAATGCGAATAAAATCAGAAGTATGCAGATACGTAAGTTGCCAGCTTACTTATCAAAATAATTCTCTCTCATGAGGTCCTAAGATCATTTTTTTAATCTTCCCCGGCCAGTTTTTATATACACGTCGTAGAAACAGAGAGAAAGGAGTGGTGGGTGAACTAGACGACAATATATGCGAATGTTCATTAGAATTCCAGAGATACTCTGCACAAAAAGTGAACGTGGGACTTTAAAGGCCAAGTTCGGTTTCTAAATTTGTTTTTTTGTCTCTTCGCTCCTTCGATTAGATTTTATTTTCCCGTGACTAAAGGAGTTTCGTACTGGCATCGAATATTGGTGTTTCTATAAATGAATGACCGAACCGTTATTTAGTGCAAGAACGTTGCACGACTTCGTACAAATGAGCGCGAGCTAGTTGCACAATGAACACGAATAGCCCATGTAGAAAGCAGCACTGACTGAATATCCCATCCTAAACCGGCATTCAACGGAATTGAAGTCGTAGATTATATTGACAGGCTGAGGACGACCTGTTACATCAGTGATAAAACCGACGCTCAACATATTAGTCAAAGTTTTTACTGTCGAACGGTTAAATTCTCCACATATTAAAGGCTGCTGATGCTTCATACTTTAAATAATTTGTTTAAATACTGATATTAATTAATTATGCATATGCTGTGGCTGAACACAGGTGGAGCACAGAGAAGAGCGGACGTGCAAGCTGCCAAAGTATCGGCTATCGTCGTCAGCGTCTTCGTCATTTCATGGCTGCCGTACGCTACCTTGGCCTTCCTCGCTCTTAACGGTTATCGCAGCAGCCTGACCCCCATCTCCGCCGAGGTGGCTGTCCTCTTTGCCAAGTCCAGTGCCGTCTACAATCCCCTGGTTTACGCCCTTATGAATACAAAGTTTCGTGCTAGTTTGAGCGAAAGGATGTCCTGTCTGATTGAGTGTTGCCATTGCCGTCGAGGGCAGGTTGTGGTTGCCCAATCGCTCTCCCCTTCCCCATGTTAGGTTAATCGTTTCCGCCCCTTTCGTACTTGCATATTTCTTAACCCTGTCCTCTTCTCCCCCCTCTCCTTCTACCGTTTCTCCTCGTCTCATTTCCTCCATATTTTTTGTTTTTTGGTCTAAAATTAGTCACCCACATTGGGTCTTTTCCACCATCTCACTCTCTTTCTCTACCATCTTCACTTAATTTCGAGAAGGACGGATGGTTTCGTGAGCTTCTTGGACATGGAAATTCTGTGCGATCATCTCTCTCCCCCTTGTTTTTAACTGAACAATTTATTGTCTATTGTGTTCTATCGGAGTCGTCCTGCATCACGTTAGCTGGAAGAGCATGGTGCATCACAAACGAACACTTGACGAGTAAAACTGATCTCAAATGTTCTATAGCCTGCATCCATCACCAAAAAAGAGATTATCGCTCAGGTCTTCGGAAGAAAAATGTGCAAAATAAGTATGACGGTACATTAGTACATTTCAGCCGTACTGAGTCAGAATGGCTACAGTGCAGGACGTTTATTGTTCTCAAAGTTATTATATAATTATACTGGACGATTCCATTTATGGCGTTTTACTTTCCGTGGCATCATTTTACAAATTAATTTTTACTTAACATTATGACACATTACATTTTAAAATCTAAAAAGGACTTTTTATTTAAATACCCTTCTAAGTCTACATATAGCAGGCAAGAAACGTAGCTCGAGGTGTGCTTATTTCGCCTGGATCGCGAACACAGGCATTTGGCGCATCTATAAATCCTCGATTACCCGCTTTGGGCGTTCATTTCGAGATAAGACAAGATTTACGGTTGATTTCTTCCTCGAAACAAAGTAAACACTCAAAGAATAATCGAACAAACATTCAAAGTGTTTTGATGAATAACTTCTCTCGCCATAACATCTATATTGCCTTGGAATAATGAGAAGATACTAATATGCAGAATATGATAATAATAAATTATATATTTAAGGTCCAAGGTGCCCCTTCATTTCAAAGTTAGTTCTGCGGTAAAAATAAATGCAAAGTTGTTAATCACAGCAACTGTATAACAACAGGAATGAGCGGTACGTTATACATATTAAGTCAGACACGATTTACAGTAAACCCTTTTTTAAATAAAAGTCAAAAATATTAGGTAAATATTGTAAACTGCAGTGAAGAAAACTCCTAAAATTTAAATCTCTGGCAGTGTTCAGCGAACCACTGATTTCCGAAAGAATATAGGAGAAAAAGCTGCTTAAATAGGTAGTTAGATTGGTATGGTATGATATGATCTACTGAGATAGGATACTGATGTTTAGGGTTCGGAACGTTCCTTGTCGTGGTAAAACATCGTATGGCATCATGGGAGTGGAACAAGAAGGGCTCATCGGGGACAACGAGGTCGAACCAAGGAGGGGGCCATAGAAGTCACGAGAGCATCATCGAGATGCGACCAAGTAGACCGCAGAGTCCACCGACACGTTGGCAACAACGTAAGAAACCGCGATGAGCATCAACAGTGACCTCGAAGGCCACCGTCAGGGTTGCAAAACGGGAAAGACTTGGCATCATTCGGAAATGATGCTCGACTCTACAGACTCTGCTGAAGCTAGCTTGTGGAGCAGAAAAAACGCAGCCAGACTACGC